TGGGTGAGAGAGCAGGATGGGGGCAGTGGGACGGGGTGCAGGAGATGACCCGAGCAGCCGCTCTCACTTGTGTCCCACGCAGCGAAGCTCACCGGGGGGCCACAGCCCCGACCCCTCTGGAGCTCCTGCCTCCAGCTCAGCCCCGAAGGCCTGGGGATGCCCGGCAGGAGATGGGCAGCTGCCTTCGCCAGCTCCCGAAGCAAGCGTGCCCAGCCTGACCACTGCTAGCTGGAGAAGGGACATCTAGGTGGGGGGATGCGCCCGCAGGAATGGGGACGGAGGTGGGACCTGCAGCAACCCCCGGGGGGGGCACACGGTGGGAGGAGGAGGAGGAAGCGATGGGCTCCCCGGCCCGGCTAGGTCCCATCCAGGCTCTTCCCTTCCAGCTGTGCCAGCTCTGCTCCTTCTCCCACCCAAAAACCTACTCCCCGAGCCGAAGCCAGCGCTGCCCCGGGCAGGGGTGGGAGGGGAAGCCGGGGACTGTCCCCGTGGCAGCAGGGAGCGGAGCCCGGGGACACCGACCCGCGGTCCCCAGCACGGGAGGGTGCAGGATCCAGGCAGAGGCGATGGAGGTGCCAGCTGGGATCTTCTCCCAGTGTTTGCTTTTGCTGTCGGTTCCCAAGCTGCTTGTTCCAAGCCTTTCTCTCCTCTTCTTTCCAGGGCTGTATGGCCTCCCTGCACAGGATGAGCCAGCTCCTGCTCTCTCGTAGACTTTGGCTTTGCAAGCCAAAGAAAATGGACCCAAAAATTCCTTTTGTACCCATATGAATCCCAACCGCCCACCCCTTCACCCCTGCCGCTACCGTGGTGGCTTGGGTGGATGCAAAGACGGGGCCTGTCATCACTCTGGGGCCACTCCTCCTGATTTTAATGACCTTGACCTCATTTTGCCTTTTTTTTCCCCTTTTTTTCTTGCTGACACCTCCTCAGAGCCTGGTCTTGGGTGGGTTATTATTGCTTGTGCAGGAGCATCCCCGGGCACCCATGTTTGCAGATGCTGCGTTTTAAATCCGCCGATGGGAAGCTCTCAAGGCATGGCCGTGCCCCGAGGGGTCTGGCTTTGCCGAAGGGCTGGGGGAGACCCCCAGCTTGGCACAGCCCCCCCCGGCGCCCCAGTCCCGCATCGCCCCGGAAGACTTTTCTCTTGGAAATTCATTTAAAAAAAAATATTGTTGGACCAAAAAAAACCAACAAGAAGAAAAGAGAAGAACCATAAACAACCACCAGGAAAGTTTTCCGGAGTCTCAAAAAAAACAGGGAAAGGGAGAAAAAAAAGGAAGCAGTTTTTTTCCCAGGCCCGAACGCTGCTGATCTCTTGGCTAGAGAAATGCATAGCTGGTAGCAAAAATGTCGGCTACATTGGGAGCCCCTGGAGCTGGGATGGCCCCTGAGCCATTGCACCCCGAGGGCTCACCGCAGGGCCGGGACAGCCAGGGTCATCGCTCCCAGACCCTGAGGTCCACGCAGTTCCGCCCCTGCTGGCCCGCGGCGCCCCCGGCATGTCTCCGGCCATGTCCCAGCACAG